AATAACTAAGACATAGGGTTTCCCTCATTTAGGAAAAGGAGGCTCAGAGACGCTAAGTGACTTCGCCAAGGGAGCACTACTAGGAGAGGCAGAATGCAAGCTCTGGTCCATCCACGTGTTCTTTCCCCCTCACTCTGTTCTCCTTGCTGTCACCTCACCCAGGACAAAGAGTCATCTTCCCCAGATGGCCCCACTCAGCATGATGCAAGAACTAAACACTAGTCTCTAAGCAAGCCTGCAGTGGGTACTCAGGCCTTGCCTGCCCTCGTGCTTCTATTCTGGGATAAGCCTACCTCCTGGCTGGTTTGCTGTTGTGTCTGGCACGTTGTGGGTGGCTCCAAGCGCTGAACAGCCCACCCACTCCTTTCGCTCCATCTCTGATTACAGAGCAGGAATATGCTTGTCTGTCACTGAGCTGCCCTCTCCCCCAGCCAACACTACCTGCCTCCCCTTTGATCTTCCCCTGGTCCTGGCTGCTGCTGGTTTTCGATTTATAGACTCATAGCTGTACAAGAAACCTCAACAGGAACAAATTGGGCTACACTGCATCTGCCTTCCATATTCCCGCCCAGCTGGACCAATCATTTGAGAATCCATTACAGGAATTTCATTTTGCCTGATGGCAGATAAGAGTTAAAAGAAGTGGCCCACAAGTTGAGTGGTAGTTACAACTGTGGCCCAGATAATCCTCGAAATGGATAAGCCACAAAGCGAATGAGGCTTTTGTGGATAGGTGAGAAACTGACACCTTGTGAGATTGGCCGAAGGCAAGCGCATTTAAGAAAACTCACTTTCTTTACAACCGGATTCTTTTCTCATCTTAAAAGAGTTTAGGTGAGGCTTTGTTGAAAAAAATAGGAATGATTCCCTTAAGGAGAGAGAGGGGAAAAGTGACAGCACTGAGCCTCTGAGTGATATTATGACTGCCATGGTCTCATTTTTATACCTACTTTTGTGATTCAAACCAAGCTTATGAGGACTATGATTCTGCAGTGTTTGGCGTCACTCTCTGGCAATGGGGAACCCGGAAAGTTTCTGAGCGATGCTCAGAGGCAGATTAGTATTTCACTGCATAGAGTCCCTGGGTTCAAATCCTGCCTCTGCCATTTACTGTATGTCTTCAGACAATTTAGGTAATCTCTCTGTGCCTTAGTTTTCTCATCTGTAAAATGGGGATCATAATAGCACCTCCCTCCAAAGCTGGTTGTATAGCTTAAATTAGTTTCTTATGTGTGAAGTACTTAGATCATTGCCTAGCAATAGTTTTTATCGTGTTGGTGTTTGCTATTGTTATGTTAGTGAAAAACAGATGAGCTATTTTTTGGATCCATCTGGTGATTTATGAACATAGGAGATTCTAAAGATCCTTGAAGCTGGCTCAGGTTAAAGGGGCAGAGGCCAGAGGTTTCTAGAGGGTTTAATGCAGCTCTCAGGTAGTCACTCCCCACAGTTCCTATCTCATCACTGGCAGGGTCTGGTCAGGGGGTTGCTGAGCTTGGCTCTGAAGTGAGATACAGAACTTCAGAAATGGAAGCTCTTTTCCTTTTCTAGCAGCCTTTAACCACTGGTGAATAATCCCTTTAGCAACATTTGGCCCAAAGAGCTTAAAAAGGAAAGGGCAAAGCGTTTCAGGGAGCAGGAGCCCTGTCTCCTTCACAGGTTTCCCACTATCCCAATGTCAGGTGAAATCTCTTGGCCCCTCTGTCAAATGTGGTTGCCAGAGGCCCACAGGACCCAGCCGCCAGAGCGTGAAAGCGACGGAATGAAAAGTGTGCGGGGAGAGGTCTGCATTGCTCACTGGTCTCTTCAGCCTCCAGCCACAAAGAAGAGGTGCAGCCGGGACACTGGGCAAGACCCCTGTTGGTTGGGAGTGGAGACGTGCCAGGGAAGCCACAGCAGGCCCTCTCTGGTGGCTTTATTACCTTTCCCTCCCTTCAGCACCGGAGAGAATCCAGTCTCCAAGGATGGCTGCCTGAGCCTTTCACTCTCACTAAATGAAGCTGATAAATACAAATGAAAAAAGGGGTGGGGTGGGGGAGGGGATGGCACACTCTTACTTTGCATTTTAATAACTCTTGTGCTATGCCTCAGACCATTTTTAATAAGAGATTGACTGATGATAGTGGTGTCCCTTCCCGACCCCCCCACTTAGTATCTATCGGGTCCAGATCAGCAGCATACCATCCTCTCTTCCAGAACATTCCACATGGCTCTTCCTTAGGGCAGAGGGTGACCCAGGAATGAAACCCATACCTCTGACATGATTTGCTGACCTCTGGAGGGTGAAGTCTAGAAGGCCATCCCTAGTTACCCAAAGACATACGCCCAGGGACACTGCCTTAGGTGGATTGACTTGCTACCTCTGATCGTCCCAGGGAGCCAGTTAGGATGGTGCAGACATGCCCCCATACCCCAGGGCAATTCCACGGAGATAAGAGCTATCTTATTTTGTTAGCCAGCCTTCCCCTGAGCTGCTGCTGCTCAGTTCTGGCCCAGATGACTTTGCAGTTCTTAGGAGAGCTGGCGCCAAGATATGAAGAGGGTAAGGTTCAAGTCCACTGCTTGTCTCCCGAATGCACTTGCTTCTGCAGTCAGTCTCAGGCCACACAGAGACCCCTCCAGGCTTTGGGGACTATATATCAAAGGCAGCCATTTGATCCCTGACCTCCACCCCCAACATACACCCCTTCTGCCATAGATATTTCCATCAAGGGAGAACTATATTGCTTAACGACTCTCTGTGTGCTGAGAGGTATTAGGAGCTTTCATGTAGAAAATGACATCTCATTTAACCCAGTCAGCAATTCTGAAATGTTGGAACTACAGGGAAATTGAGGCTCAGAGAAGTTAAGTGACCTCTTCAAGGCCACACACCTAGTAATGGGCAAAGCCAGGATGCAAACTCTTGTACAGCAGGGTTTCACCAAGTATTTCTTGCGTGCCCAGCACGGGCAGTAAAACCAGTTGCTGTTGAGTCAGTTCTGATTCATGGCAACACCATGTGTGCAGAGTGGAACTGTGCTCCACAGGGTTTTCAATGGCTGCTCTTTCAGTAGTAGATTGCCAGGCCTTTCTTCCATGGCACCTCTAGATGGACTTAGACCTCCAACCTTTTGGTTAGCAGCCAAGCATGTGAACTGCACCACCCAGAAAGTGGCAGAGCCAGGATTCAAACCCTGGTTTGAAAAGGTTTCACTGAGTATTTCTTGCCTGCCCAGCATGGGCAGTAGGGGGATGCAAGTGAGAAGAGACGCATAGGCTGGGGTCCGGTCAACCTAGGCTTTGCATTGCATTGCCGATATCCCATCTGGATCTCTGAGGAGCAGAACCGTGGCAGCTTCCGAGGCAGATGAAAAGCCACCCTTCCCCAAACTGTTTTCTTTAAAGCCAGACTCCTGAGTGTTTGAAGCCGCTTGACTTTGGCAGTGCCTTTTCCTTTTTCTCTTTCTCCTTGCTGCTTTTAAACAGCCCTCAGAGATAAGAGGAGCGCATCATTGCTGGATGCCTCACTTGCAGATGCTCGGAAGACCTTCTGCCTCTCCCACCCCCGTGGGGCTAGTGCCAAGGCTGTGCAGCTGGGCGGCTTGCGTGTGTGGGGGCACGCGGGCACAGCGCTGCTCTCGGTGGGAGAAAGGCACAAAGCCTCCAATTGATCTGCACCTGAAGTATAGATACAGATTGAGTCTTTTGCTTTGATAGTGAGTCTCACCAGCATTAAACTTCATTTATGTCTCTATAAATATACACAGCTTTGAACGGGAGGCTTTATGGCTGCGTTTGTAAATTCCATCTATCTGTGACCCAGACGAGTTGCTGTGAGAAGACTGCCCTTTCATAGCCCACCTTGGCCTCTGCCCTCTTCAACATCACCGTTTATGGGGTCCTCTTTGGTATTCAGGACCCTGTCCCTTCTGCCCAGCCAGCCACCCTTGCCTTCCCACACCGGAGCAGACATGGGCTCCCTGGCCTGGTGCTGCCCAGTCCTCTTCTCTGTGTGCCCTCTCACCTCTGCTCACAGCTGGCCAGGCTGTGGGAAGAGCACGGAGGGAGCACAGGGCTGTCACCTGATTTCCTCTCCACCCCTGTCCCTTGGCCCTGGCGCCACTGCTGACCTTGGTATTGCCGTGCTCACAGGAGACATCAGAAGGCACTTAAACAGGATAGGCTGGCAAAACCTGACTTATTACAGTATATGTTTTACAGAGATACATTTAGATAAACAGAACATCCACACAAACGCCAACACTCAGTGGCTACGGGGTTTACAATACTTCCTGAGGCATGCAGCAGCTTTCCCCTGATGTACTTGCGGAGATAAATTCAAGGTAATCTATATAAACTCAAGTCTTCGAAATTGCACGCCATCAAAAAATTCAAACAATTACTCTAACCCAGCCGGGAGATGGCTGTTAGATGTTCTTCTTATGGAAAACATAATTATAAAGGAAGGAAAAATGTTTCATAAATAAAACTCAGAATAGCAGACAAACCTGGAGGGAGGGGAAGGTGAGAGAAAAGGAATCCAAATGTTCATAGTCCTCAGTCGAGTGTGGCATTGGGCTCAAAAACCCAGTGTTTCCTTAAGGCTCAAATTAATTTCAGTCTGGTACAATTTCTAAGTAATTAATTGGCAAGAGGCATCTTTCAGATATTTTTAAACATCAGCCTGTCAGGCTTTGGGTGCTAAAGGAGTAGAAGGAAAAATAGCCAAACACATGCTCCTAAAATTAAGGCGATGTAAAACAAGGGCCAGCCCAGCCCGTTAGTACCTAAGGAGAATATAAAATCCAGGTCAGCCCAGATAATTGTTTGCTTGTTAAAATGCCAAGTACCCCAGGCTGCGCCTAGTCCCCAGGCCATGTTAAATACCAAGGGATATAGGTCCATCCAGGTTCAACAATCACTCATAGAGGACATGTGCCTGGCCAGGCACTGTCCTAGGCACTTTGAACTTGTGCCTCATTTAATTCTCACAAGAACCCGCTGAAGAAGACATGGATGCATTGGTGGTTCAGTGGTAGAATTCTTGCTTTCCATGCGGGAGACATGGGTTCGATTCCCAGCCAATGCACCTCATGGGCAGTCACCCCCTGTCTGTCAGTGGAGGTTTGTAGGTTGCTAGGATGTTGAACGGGTTTCAGCAAAGCTTCCAGACTGAGATGGATTAGTAAGAAAGGCCTGAAGATCTACTTCCAAAAATCAGCCAGTAAAAACCCTATGGATCACAACCATCTGATACCATTATGCATGAGGTCGCCATGATCAGGGGCCTACTCAACAGCAGTTACCAACAACAAGGAAGACGTGATGATCTCTATAGGCTTTTTTGAGGGGGTGAGGTGGGGAGGCTGCTGCCAAAGAACCTCAGATTAAGACAGGCTGAGTAATTGCCCAAGGTCACAGGGTCAGTAAAGGGTGGAGCAGGAATTTGAAACCAAAGTTTTCTGGCAGCAAACCTCTAGGTCTTGCTTCTTTTTTTTTTTTTTTTAATTGTTTGGATTTTTAATTTTTGTCTTTTACAGCTGAATCTAATTCTAATTTACATTCTATGGCCAGAGAAGACTTTAAACAAGAAGAATTAGTTTTGGTAAATTAACACAAGGAAAAATGATCAATCATCCTCCTAGAATTAAAGCCACACAAATAAAAAGCATGAGATGCCATTCGTCTGTGAAACGATTTGAAAAAAAACATAAAGAAAAGTTAATAAAACTCAATGATGATAATGTTTCAGGGAAATAGGAAGGCTGATGACAGTATTATATACTGGTACAACTCTTCCAGAGTTGGTCACTGGCCACTTAGATCACTTGCCTTAAATATGTTAATATACCAAGTGATTTAATTCTTAAAAAACTGCAAAACGTATCACAGGAATGAACTCAAAAGCATAAATCTATAAAGATGATCAGAGCAGAGTTATTTCAGCAGCAGAAAACTGAAATTGTCTAAACATGGTATTATAAGGTAATAGTAAATGATGACATATTAATTTGATGGAGAAAATCCATTTAAAATAATGATAAACACCATGAAATAACTTAGAAATATACTTGTAAAATCATTAAAAAAAAAAAAACCCTCCAGGAAACTACATAAACATTAAGATAGTAGTTGTCAAATTCTGACTATTTGTCCAACCCTAAGTCTTTAATCCATTCCAAGTCAGCCACTCTAGGTCTTGCTTCTTGTTATCTTAGTCCCATGTGTTCTGTGTATGTGTTGCCCAGGCAGGAAGGGTGTGGCCAAGACACAAGCCAGCAGAGAGCAGTGAAAGAAGTTGGGCTCTGTATCAGACAGATTGGGTTCAAAGCCAGCCCTGCCACTTTCTAGCTGTGTGACCTTGGGAAAACTACTGAACCTCTCTGAGCCTCTCAGGAAGCTTGTTTTCCTTATTAGTGTGTTCTCTCCTCTGCGATCCTCATGGGGACTATTTCAACTTAATTAAGTGCCTTGACCAGGGTCTCCCTTTCTCACTCAGCTGAAGAGGAGGTTTTCCTTGCCAAGTCTCCTTCTAAGTTAATCCTTCTAAGGATTAAGTAGGAGAAAGTATGTAAAACACCTAGCACAGCGCCTTTCACACAGCAATGGCCAATAATATGTGAGCTACTTTTACCTATTTTTGTGAGATCATGTGGGATACTATATTGCAGAGCTTGGTATAGTGCCTGGCACACAGTGAACACTCCATAAATAATAGCTGTTTTTATTTTTATGGAAAGAGGGAAACAAGGGTGGGAACTCTTGTATTTAGGTTGAGCAGAACCAACAGCAAATCAGAAAGCCTTTATTGGGCCCTACTGTGTACCAGGTGCTGTGCTGTGCTTCCCAGCCCTTGTCGAATCTAGGCAAAGAGGCAAGATGTTTTCACATATACAGATTAGCAATGATCCAAGATGTAAAAATCCTGTAAAGATGCTTGAAATGAATCACAGGGGAGCCCTCATTAACTGCCAAACATTGATAAAAGCAATATAAATGTTATGGTTGGAGTTGTGTGTCCCCAAAATATGTGTAAACTTGGCTAGGCCATGATACCCAGCATTATGATATGATTGTCCACCATTTTGTCATCTGATGTGATTTTCTTAAGTGTTATAAATCCTACCTCTATGATGTTAATGAGGCAGGATTACAGGCAGTTATGTTAATGAGGCAGGACTCAATCTACAAGATTAAGTTTTGTCTTAAACCAATCTCTTTTGAGATACATAAGAGAAAAGTGAGCAGAGAGACAGGGGGACCTCATACCACCAAGAAAGCTTCACTGGGAGCAGAGCGCATTCTTTGCACCTGGGGTTCCTGCTCAGAGAAGCTCTTAGACCAGAGAAAGATTGATGACAAGGACCTTCCTCCAGCGCCAACAGAAAGAGAAAGCCTTCCCCTGGACCTGGTGTCCTGAATTCGGACTTCTAGCCTACTAGACTGTGAGAGAATAAACTTCTGTTTGTTAAAGCCATCCACTTGTGTATTTCTGTTATAGCAGCATTAGATGACTCAGACAGTAAGCAAGTAGTCAATGGCACGGGCTTTGAACCTGGGTTTGAGTCCCTGCTCTACCACTTCTTAGCTGTAAAAAGTTGAGCAAATCACTTACTATCACTATGTCTCAATTTCCTTATCTGTAAAATGAGGGTAACAGTATAAGTCATAATGTTTGTAAGCCACTAAATGATATAAAGTATTTAAAGTGCTCATTAATAGTAATAACATTCATTGCAGCACTATTCACAATAGCCAGAAGGTGCAAACAACCGAAATGTCCATCAAGAGATGAATGGATAAACAAAATGTGGTATATACACACGATGGAATACTACTCAGTCATAAAGAGAAATGAAGTTCTATTGTATGCCACAACATGAATGAACCTTGAAAATATTATGCAGAGCAAAGTAAGTCAGTTGCAAAAGGACAAATACTGTATGATCTCACTTACATGAAATAAACAAATAGATAGAAACCAAAAATTATTAGTGTGGTTACCAATGGTGGGAGGAAGGCGAAAAGGGGAAGTTTTTGCTTAGGGGGTACTGAGTTTATGCTAATTAATGGTGGTGGAATAATTTGGGAAAGGAAAGAGAGAATGGTTGCACAGCTTGAAGAATGTAATCAATGTCACTAAATTATACATGTAGAATTTGTTGAATTGGTATGTTTTGTTGTGTATATTTTCACCACAATAAAAAAAATAGTAATGACAGTGAATATTGACTAAGGGTGTTCTCTGTGCTAAGTACTTGACTAAAGTACATTGTAGGCACTCTGTAAAGTTTGGCTGGTATTATCATTAGCAATAGAAAGATCCAAGCTACCAGGGCCCAGCAATGTGAATTTTTAGGTGGACTACGATAAAAAACCACCAGCACAGATCTTCAGTCCTTGGGGAGTACTAGACAAATAGAGATGTTGCTAAGCCATCCTGGGTTGATACAGTTCTGGGATCAATATTCTAACCTTTTCCCCTCTGTCTTTCATACTATATAGTATGATGAGGACACATTCAGATTAAAAGAACCACAAATTCCTCCTGGGTCCTGATAATAATCTTTTGTTGAGTCATCCACAGCCAGAGCATAAGGTGTTATAACAGGGGTCAATGGAGATGAGCTTCTGCTCTAAGGACAGGGGTCTCTAGTAGATCAGGGCTGGGCTCCTTCAGAAAACTTTGTAATGAGTCTGTTTGCTCATTTACACTTGACCCCAGAACACCTTTCCTCATTATGGAGACATAAGCCAGGAAATACCCAGGGATGTGCCAACAAGGATAGAACTACACCTCTCCCTGGCTGCTTGCACCTCTCTGGGACAAGATTGGGGCACTTCAATGGGGCCTAAGTACAGAAGAAAGATCCAACTCATTTTTGATGGGGTGGGAAGCTAGTCAACCACATAAATCACCCTCTATTTGCCTCCAGGAAGCCACCTGCTTGGTCTTCATAGGAAAAGGGGATGATTTCAGCTCAAGTGAGTGCCATAACCAGAGAATCTTCCTTTCCCACTCTGTCGGAGAGTAAAACAGAGGAAACTGGCCAGAATTAACGGAAGAGAAGAGAAGAGGGTAAGGCTTCTCAAATTTCTTTTACCAACTGACATATCAGTTATTTACTGTGTTCAAAATGCATGAATACAGTTCTAGTCCAAAGTCGTGTTCTAAGGTAAAGATGCTGTGATTCTCATATACAGTTTAACATAGCTTTTAAAACACAATTCCCTCTTCCCCACTGGCCTTGCTCTTAAGAGGATGAAATTCCAGTCAGGCAGCGAATGTCTTCATTATTGGCACATCCCATAATCAAGATGAGGTAAGCTGTGTCTCTTCACTTCTCCCAAGTCATCTACAGGAATTGGCTTTGTGGAGATCGATCAATTTTTTCATTTCTGCACAAATGTCTCCCTAAACTTCAGGGAATCCTCACCATGATGTGAGGTCTGACTGTGTGTGTGTATATACAAACACACACACACATATATTTTCCCACAAAGTTATCAAAATCTTCTGATACCTCCACAGCTTTTTAAAGACAAAATAGAATACTCTTAACCCTGGCCCACAACCCAGGGATGGGAGTAGGGTGAATGGACACATCCCTAGATAGAGCTATGCTGGTACATGGGTCTCTACAAAGTGGCCTCCGGTTCTAAACCCACTCTTAAATAAAGAGTATCAGAAACCTCTTCAGCCATGACCTTTGTGGATGAAGCTGAATTGGCATAAGCACTATCACGGTGAACACTCCTCTCTTTTTCCCTAATAAGCTCACACGGGTGCTCCTTCCTCGGCTTACCCTCCCAGAGCCCAGACGGAGTGACTCATGACCAGCCACCTGAATGCTAAATTTCAAGTTTTTATAGAAACTTTAGCATCATCTCTATGCACTCTACCATCAAGTAGCTCACGCTACTCAGAAGCAGGTGCCCACAGGGGCTTCTGTGGTTCCTGTTTGAACTTGTTTATTGGTCTCCACACACAAGATTGAAATAGCCACTTGGGTTTTCAACACCAAGACCATAAACTGGGGAGCAGAATGTATCTCTCCCCCACCATCTCTGCCACTCATCCAGTAGACTTAGAAATTAGATATATTCTCTTAAAAGTCTAGGGTCTACATGACACATCTATTAAGTGCAAAATGTAGCAGTAGAAGCTATGGTGACAGAAAACAAAAAATGATGGGGTTAGAGGAGGAGAAGATTGATTGGAAAGATGCAGAAGGGAACTTTGTATATTTTGTTTAGAGTAGTTAGATGGATATACACAATACTAAAAACGTACTAATCCGAATACTTAAGATCAGTGCATTTAATTATATGCAAATTATACCTCAATTAAAAAAAAAAAAAGGTAACAGTAGCCCTCTCCGGGTAAAAGACGGCAGCATATGGCTGCAGGGAATAGGGCAGGACACCAACCTTCTTCTTCCCTCCACTTTTCCCCACAATTTCTCATAACCCCAGATCTCAGAAGCAGCTCAGCAACCCACTCTGCTGAGTGAAAGAAGGCTGGCTCTGGGAACACCATGGCTTTCTCTCCAGAATGCTGGCCAGGTGTGACGGGCATAGCTACCAGGGGAAAGGAGGTTTTGCCTATGGGGTGAGGTTTGTGTTCAGTCTTCCTATCCTCTCCTAGGGTTTCTGTAGGTGCTCAGAGCCAAGCCCTTCTCCTGCTCCTTAGCTATCCTCCCCACATTCAGAGCCACAGAGGACTCATTGAAGGAGGTCCCAGAGAAGGCTCATAGGAAAAAAAAATCTTCAAACCCCTACAACCAAGACATCCATGGCAATGTGCCCAGGAAGGTGCCTTCAACTGGGATTTCTGGGGGCAAGGTAAGTATGGCAATCTGGTGCATGGCATCAGGTCAGCCTGGGGCCATCAGCCTGGAATTATCTCTTCACAGCAAGCCCAATAAAGCTTATCACCTGGATCCTGGCCATCTTCTTGGCTGAAAACTAAAGGTCAGGAGCACCTTGAGAATTCCTGGCCAATTCCCACTCTTTAGCAGGTAGAGACCATTGCTCTACACTGAGTTCACTAAAAGACTTTGGCTACAAGTCTGTTCACTGGGGAGCAATCTATCCCTGCTCTCTACTCATGAGTATTTCTGCATTTCACGGATGATGAGATGTTAGTAGACCAGAAGTTCTATTCCTGGTTTTGCTACCCTCTAGCCTAGCCTTATAAACGCCCATGTCTCTTCATTTATAAAATGGGCCCAATAATGTCACTGAACACTCCTTTCAGAGAGAATTTAAGGGCATTAATGAGGTAATGACCACTAAGTACAGTGACTTCAGTAATAAATGGTGGCTTTAAACAGGGTCCGCTGCAAGGCAATGTACTTTTTTAAAACCTCCAGGGACATGTCATGCAGAAATCCATTCACTCATTCGTTCAAAGTGGGGGAAATCAAGGACAGGAGGAGTTGAGAGAATTGAAATGTGACTGAGTCAATGTTGGCTTCTGACACTCCGCATATGACTATTTTAATCTGTTTTTCCTACCATTACAACCTCTAACTTCACTCTTCTCCTCGCTGCACTCTCCCTACTTCCTGCCATTCAAGGGAGATGCTGAGGTTTCAGGATCCAATGCCAAGCACAGTAAAATAAATAGTAGTACCATTTTATGCAGGGCTATGTTTCTCATCTGGAAGGCTCCCCAACCACAGGCAGAGAGTATTTTGTTCAGTTTGGAGGAGGGGCACTGGGTGCTGAATTAAAAGCACAGCAGAGTCTCAACCCTAGGCTTGGTTGGGAACTGGAAAGAGTGACCCCTTTGACTCTCTCCTGCCTCAACCTACTTGAAGAAAGTGGCCAGAACCTTAAATAGTTTGGTGCCAAGGTGAGGCAAGGCTTACTCTAACGAGAAGCCCCATGTCTTTAAAGTCCCCCATGGGATGCTGGCTCCATGGAGAATAGGGTGATTGAGGGAAGTCCACAACATCACTTGCTGGACGGCCCCACCCAAGTAGATGTGATCAGGAGAGAGGTAGGCAAATAACGTCTCCAAGGCAAAACCAAGGCAGGTGAGGGTTAAGTGATCGAACATACTTCAGCGAGGCAGGAAGCAGGGGAGATCAAGCAGTACCTTTCAAAAAGCAGTAGCAGTGAAGTGCGAAGTGGTGATGAGCACCTGTTTGTGGAGCCTCTCAGTGCTCGAGGACGGACGACATAGGACTGCTTCAAGCCCTCATGACTCAGGGACCAGTCTACGCTCATTTCTGCTTCTCTAGACATGTGGAGTCAAACCTTTCTCCTAGGCTGACTTTCACTGGTAGATGCCCCAGAAAGCAGGGCAGAAAAGACTTTGTTCTCTTTCCAACCAAACCACACATAAGCAAGGATGACAGGAAAGTGGAGGCACCTCCTGCCTCCTTGCAAATGTGGTACAACCCACATATGCCAACCCCTACTGGCACTTTCTTACCATCATGAAGTCAGAAGGACCTCAGCCCCCAAACCACCCCAGCCTGTTGCTCACCTGTTGCACCTGCACACTTGCCACGAATTCACACCAAGAGAGAAAGTAAAAGGTCAGATTGGGCTCTCTCCACAGCAAGAACCCAGAGAATCTTGAGGAAATTGACGTTATCAAAGCTACCTCTTCCAAGCTGTCTCAGAGGAGCATAACTTTTAAGTCTATCTCCATTACCAACCGCCAGGCTTCCTGTCCAACACTTTCCCAATCCCGTATGGCTTGCGGGGAAAGAGTTAAAGAAGGTGCACTACTAATTCCCCAAATCCTCCCTCTTATCTACATACAAAAAAAATAAAAAAGCCCTACACGGAGAATTGGAGAAGCACAGGAGAAGCACAGAACCCTCTGGCAATTTAGCTCAGACCTCACCTGTCTTATGCAACAGTACACACACACACACACACACACACACACACACACACACACACGCATACACACACACACACACCCGTAAGGCCAGAGTCCACATCCACCTTCAATTCCATAAGCATAGTTTTCTTTTGCTCCTGTCTTTCCCCTACGCAGAACCCTGCTCAACTGGCAGTAGAGAGATAGATGTAACCTTAGTGCCAAACGCCTTGCAGGAACACACAGACACGCAGGAACCGAAATGCGTCTCATTGCTCTCCGTGGTGCTGAAATCACGCTAGCGAGCAAATCCAAGGAGCAAGTGCGCTGGACTTACCCGGGTTGGGGGTGGGCGGCAGGGGAGCGAGAGGAGCTTCCTGCGAAGAGAATTCTCTTCTCTTGGGGCTGGAGCCAGCTGATGCGCTCACCTAGAGAAACCACCTCTCTCCTTTCTCTTCCGTTCCTCCTTTCCTGGGAGAAGAGAGGAGGCTCCAGCAAAGAAATGAAACCCAAGCTGTCAGGGCTAGGAGTGGAAGGAGAAAGAGGAGGTAACCATAATAAGAGCAAAAAGTCAGGTGGCTTTACTCCACTAGTGGTAATTCCTTGGGTCAGGGAGGACCCCTCTTCTCTTACTCTCTCTGTGTCTGCCCCTCTTTCTCCGTCTCTGCGTGTTAAGCCAACAGCCCTAGCACAGTCAGTTCCTGCCTCTGACGTGAAGGAGAGGAGGAAGCCTGGGACTGCTTTGCTGTCTCTCTCACGCGCTCTCTTTTCCCCTCTTGCTGAAATTTCAGCAGCATTATTTTTTTTAAGCCTCCCATTTTTTCCATCCCCCTACAAGCAGCCCCCTAGTGGACAGAAGAGAAAAGTATCCTGAATCCTCTTGAACAGTCCAGTCTCAGGCACAGGAGCACACCCACACCCGTGAAATCTTGGGGGCTGCCTCCACACAGCCATGTCCCCTGAAGAGAACAGACTTTCCTCTGGGCAGCCCAGATAGGAAGAGAGAGAAATGGGGAGGAAGAGGGAGAGGAGGGGAACTTTTGCAGATTCTTTGCCCAAGAGTTACAAGAGAAATAAAGGGTGGAATGGGATGTGGGGAGTAGTTAAGGAAAGGTCAGTTGTGGGGTTTTCAAATGGTTTAAGGTCCTGGATCAGCAGAGACACACCTTTCAGAGTCAGGGTCTCAGCCAGGTGAGGTATGTCTATACCCAGGACAACTCAGGAATGAGAGTGTTTAAAAAGACAGGGGATACAGGGAACTGTATCCAGCTGACACCCCATCCAGCTCCTTAATACGGTTTTTTGAAAACTGGTAAGAAAAATATCTGGGAATTCCTGGCCTAAAATTATCTCAGCAATAAGACAGAGTGATCTCGCTGAGCATTCATGAAGAGCCTTGGCAGAGAAGGAGCCGTCGAGGGTCACTGCTCATAAGGCTCCTAGGCATGTCATACACCCTTTCTCAAATGTACAGTTGCACAGCCTCCTGGCAAGAGTCAGTCCTAGTATTCGCATCTACAAGGTTGAGTTCTAGTTTCAGACTGCCTCTCACTTACTGAATCTTTTGCTTCTTTATGGTTCAATTTCACTGTTTGTAAAATGTGGATAATGCTGCCCCCCTCCCCAACGGAATGGGAATGCTGAAGGATTGGAATGATATAGAGACATAGAACCTCAGGGTTGGCAGGGAATTTAAAGGTAATCTTGTCCAAATACCCTTCTTATGTTTGACTGACCCCCGGAAAATAATAATAGCTAACATTTATATCATATTTACCAGGTATCAGGCACTGCCATAAGCCCTTACATGTATTTGTTCATTTAATCCATACAGTAACCCTACAATACAAATGCTATTATTGCCCTTTTATAGACCAGGAAACTAAGGCACAGAAAGATGAAGTAACTTGCCCAAGATCACATAGATAATAACAGAGATAGGGTTGGAACACAGGCTATCTGACCCTGGAACCTACTCTATTAACCACCACACACAATAAATATATGATTCTCAAATAAATTATAGAAGCAACATCATCTGAAAATAAATGGAAGATAGCATCATCATTATCATTGTTTTTTTATTAATGATAACGTGCCTAGATTGTTATGATAAATTTGTATGTGGCTGGGTTTTTAAAATAAAATATTTACAACTATGAGTGCCAAACAAACTGTGGAAATTGCTATTACTGATGAGGATCCTCTAAGAAAACTAATTCTCTTGGTGATTTGGGTAGTTTCACACATACAAAACAGGCTGTAAATTTCACGAAATTGGAAACTGTTGGGCTTTAACCTCAGTTCAGAAGACACATCACTCGATTGTTGTCCCTAAAGCAGATCATTGCCCAGTGCCCAACACAATGCTAGGACGGGGCCGGGAATGTTTTGAGCTGAATTGTTGCAATGTACTCAGTTAAAAAGTCATTTGGTGAGATGATGGCATTTTCTTCAGAATTCCAGAATTATGAATTCTTTACCTGATGTAGCTTACTTTTTTCCAGCTTTCTTTGGATCAGAAGTGAATGGGTAAGACAAAAGTGGGATGTAATCGTTAACAAATCATGGTCCCTGTCCTCATGGAGTTTCCAGTTCCTCAGAGAGAAAAGGGAAGAGCAAGAAAAAGACCATTCTAGTTCAGGGGGTAAGTGCTATGACATGGGCAAGTGCAATGTAATAAGTGAGCACGTAGAAGAAACTATTAGCCCATCTTTGAGGGGCAGAGGGCTTCCTGAGGAATGTGGCATCTAAGCTGAAGCCTGGAGAATGAGAAGTGATCTCAGTACAGAATGGGGGAGGAATTAAGCAGAAGGTGCAGCATGTACCAGTGTGGAACTTTGGAAGGGGGCATTGCCCTTTTCCATTTACAAATGCGGAAACTGAGGCTCAGAAAAGTTAGGTGACTTGCCCAAGATCACACAGCTACTAAGTGTATCCTAAATTAAACACACATCTATTTGACTCCAAACTTATCCTCATTGTGAAGTACCATGTTGTCTTCTCTCATTGCTTGGAAGTGCACACACAATTAAATAAGGTGTTTCAATAAATTTCATAGAGACACAGAAACTCAGAGTTCTATGTGTGCTAACTGGGTGCTGAAGTGGCCTCTACAAGGAATCTGGAAGTGTGATCCATTACTATTGGATGAGAAAGCCACAAGGAGGCACCCCTTAGTACTTTAAAAAAAAAAAAAGTTGATATTCAGAATGGCAGAATTATTTCTGGTGGATGTGAAATTACTAGAAGTATTGGGAAGTGAGGCCATTTCAGTGGTACAAAGACATTAGACACTTGTATTTGGAATGCGGGAGAATGTAGAAAGGGCTGTAAGAGAGGTTCAGGTTAAGTGCTGTGGGAGCCCAGAGGAGAGAGAAGTCCTTCTGCCTCGGAGGGATTGGAAGAGACTTCTTCACATGGGAAGTGGCCTTCTATCTGAACCTTAAAGAATGTGGGTTCAGGGGACAGGGCCCGGCCAAACCATCCTGTGTGCTATTATAGTCAGACATTTCATACATAGAAAACATAATATCTGAGTCATCTTGAAGACCAGTGGCACACTGACAGGGAGAAGAGAATGGAAGATCGTTGTAGGCAGAAGGATGTCAGACACTGGAAGAGGGACAGGTTGGGAGGGGTAGGGAAGAGCAAGGCTGATGGATGAATCTGAGTTTGTACATGTCAGGTTTTGGGAGATGCAAATATATATTCTAATGGAGATGTCTAGGCAGTGGCTAGAGTATGTCTCTGGAGCTCAAATTAGAGACCTGGAGTTGGCAAAATAGGTCTGGGGCCCATACACATGGACATGGTAGCTGCTGGATGAAGGCGAGAGAAAACTAAGACTGAGGACAGAATCCCAACCGTGTTTCCTTGATTCTGGATCAAGTCTTACACTTCTTTAGTTCTTGTGGCTAAGGTGCTTGACGCCTAGTACATAGCCACAAAATACTTGTCAATTGGTTCATAATAATAACCTAAATTATGTGTTAGTTAAAGATTATATTGGGACCGAATCAACTATTGGTTCCTCAGCTTCTGATCTATTCTCAGGGACATGGTCCCTCTGTCACATCTTCTGCTTGGAGGCTGACCCCTGGATTTTTGTTTTTTACTAGTACTCCAGTCCACAAGTATTATTTGTATTTGGTATTATGATTTGCTATTATCTCTTCATCCATGGTGCTAGACTAAATTTGAGCATCTCCTCAGGCACTCAGCTGTCTCCAGAGAATAAGGAGCAACTGTGGGGTGACATCCAAGGCAAATCTACACCATAGTCACTATTCCAGAAGGCCATGGGACCCAGCCTCTGGGCACAAGGAGTCAGGAGGTGTTGCTGTGGGTATTTTTTGACAGAACAGGGAAGGGGATCTAGAGTTCTACTTTGGAACTTGGAAATTTCAGAAAATCCAAGAGGAGCCCTCAATTCCCAGGCTAACCTTGGCCAACGTCATATCCCTGTTACAATGAGCACTGGCCAAAAACAGAAGGAAGTTTGTTATAAACACCAGATAAGACATGTGGTGGTTTCTGGGCTCTGGCCAAGGAAGAGAAAGGGAAAAGGAGAAGTGGGCAAGATCTAGCTTATTACTCACCACTCCAAGGCCCATCTTATCCAAGTAGCACTTCTGGAGCAAACCTTCTTATTTTCCAACTTGCCCCACCTACACAGTTTCTGACACTGCCCTCTGTGTCTTTCCAAGAGTCTGTGTTTACCTGACCACAGCAATGTAGAGTTATAAATAATTGACCTTTCCTCCTATGAGGATGTAATCCCCTTGAGGACGGACAGGGTTTGCCTTCAGGAAGCATCCTAGCAGTGACCTTGGGGCTCTTGCCACGTCTATTCCTGGACTAGTCGGTGACTAGATGGGCCCAGGAAAGAAAGTCAGGAGGGAGAGAGAGAGAGAGAGAGAGAGAGGAAAAAAAAAAAAAGAAATTTCTGAGCTTCCAACTAAGTTTTCTAGGCTGAGAAAGAGAGTGGAGATGGTAGAATAAAGGTCGTCCAGGCTGGAGACTCTATTTGAGAGGTAATTTTCCTTTTTCATCTTCCTCAGCCCAAATCTTTTCCCCACGGCAAAGGGGAGGGGGCAGGGCACCTCATGTGAATTTATCCCCACTGTGCAGAAAGCCCTGCTATAAACTGCCTACCTTGAGGTTTCACACCTAATTACAAGAGGCCATTCACTGTGACATTCTGTAGGTAGGGGCCCAGGAATATATTCTGTAGGTAAGGGCTCAGAATTGACATTCTGTAAGAAAGGGACCAGGAGTGACATTCTGTAGGTAAGGTGTCAGGAGTGACATTCTGTAGTAGGAGGCCAGGAGTGACATTCTTTAGGTAAGGTGTCAGGAGTGACAAGGAGTGACATTCTGTGGGTAGGCCACCAGGAGTTACATTTTGTAGGTAAGGGACCAGGAGTGACATTATCTAGGTAGAGGCCCAGAAGTGGCATTTTGTAGATAGGGTCCTGAGAGTGGTAGGCACAGCTATCCTGAAACAAACTGCTCTGCTAAAGCAATCAGCAGCTCAACGCCATCAGAAAGAGTCCCAGTACTGGGAGAGGGGTCAAGAGTGTTTGTGTAATTTCCCATAGTCTCCCATGGAGCCCTACACCCACTCCTTCTCCACAGTTCCTGAGTGCAAGTGGATAGGGTACCTGTACAGTGGCCAGGAGCTAACGCTTTCTCAGCAATTACTACGCAGATAATCAGGTGTCGAACATTCA